CCCCACCCCATCCCACCCCATCCCATCCCACCCCATCCCCGGGCGGTGCCCGCTCCAGTGCCGGAGGGATGCGAGGTGGGGGCTTAGGCGAAGGACGAGGTACTGCGGGGTCTCTGCTAAATTTATTAGCGTGTTGCTGAGACGAGGCTCAGTATAAATCACGGAGCTGTATAAAGCCATAAAGTATCCCTACGTATCCTGCCCTCACCGGGGTTCTGGTGAATAGGAGTTCATGGAAAGCTGGGTATCAGGAATATCTTTCAGACCCGGTGTATGTGACATTTTAAAAGTCTTAGATACACATTGGGATATTCTTATGGAGTATCTGAAACTATTACATAGACATTGTATAGGTATTTGGTACTTATATACAAAATAAATTAAGGGGGGAAAGCTCTTGAGTAATATGCTCAATTCTTGTCATTATCTCAATGGTTTTAAAGTAATAAAATTATTATTTTGGGAGGGGAAAAAATATAATTATAAACCTTGGTACATTCTAAATGGATATATGGTAACAGAGATCTAAGGTATTAGTTTCTCCTTGGTTGTAAAATGCATTTGCTGAACTTGTAATAATATTGAAACAAATAAGTAACAGTACTTGCCATGGACACAAATCTGAAGAATTCTTTGAGCCACCTGTAACACCACCTTTGAATACATGCAAATCAAGCATTTATACATTCAAAAGTGTTAGGAAAGCTCCAGTTGAAGTGGACCTGCTGTCCCCAGCCACACACTGCAGTATTTCTGGTGCCTCACAGGTAAGGAAAGGCAGTTTGTAACTGATGTCACCAGCAGCCTTAAGTCTCACTAACTGGTGGATATTACAGTTAATTGTCCTTTACCAGTTTCTCCAGTAGACTGGCCATGAACACGTTATCCTAAACACTAACCATCCATGCCTTTATCTTTCAACTTCATGCTTGAACAAACCCACTTTAACAAATCATGCAAACCCCCAAACTCACTTCATTCCTACAAAGCCCTTTTACAGCCCTGTGGAAAGATAGTCTCTTGTCCAGCCCTTCTCAGTGGGAAAGTAGAGGGAGGGCTCCAGTAAGGCTGGTTTGTCTGCCTTCAGCTGAGGATCTAAAACCATTTTAATGGGATTTTGTTGTCATCCTACACACTTCAGAGGAATTCCTGTATGTAAGCACCAAAGAGTGCTTCAGAGCAAGAGTGGTCCCACTGAAATCAGTGCTTAAAGACTTCAGTCCACCAGGGTCTAATGCCTTGCATGGAGAAAACCAAGCATATCCTCTAGCCTGTGAACGTTCAGTGAGTGCACTCAAGCAGTGAAGACAATGAATTCAGTGCCTAAAGCAGTTGAGAAGCAAAAGGTCCTCTGTTCTGTTCAATGCCTTTCTGCATGCTCTGGAGAAATGGAAGAAGTGACAGTAGTTTTGCCAGAACACTAGCAGACTCCAGCAGTATTTGTGCAGTGCTTTGAGACCTTGGGTAAGCAAAGAAATGCAGATGGTTGTTGCGTCATGCAGCACAGCTCTGTGTCATCTGCCAGGGATGTGACCTGTGAGGGGGTGGCAGGGCTGGAGCTGGAGAGCTATTGCAACATGAGTCCCTGCTCCCAGCCCCATTAGCACAACATATGCCAATGGTTCCTTTACAGCCTGGGGAGATTCCACTGCCCTCAGTCCCCCGCCCCTGGCACAGCCCTTTAGCTCTGTCAGTAACTAAGCATACCCAGTCCTCCAGTTAACTGCAGATACATAAAGGTACGTGTCTCTTTTCTCTCTTTGGACTATATGTACTGATATGTGTGGATTGCAGCAATACACAAAAGGCAAAAAAAGCTCATTTTTCTCATCTGGTTGGCTGGAAGCAACAGGCAGCAAAAATGTAGCGCCAACCAAAACAAGAGCTTTCCCAATTCTTTATTCCAAGGCTTCTCACTCAATATATTTTTTCTTCAAAACCAAAGCTTTACAGGCTTTACAGGCAGTT